AGGGACGCGAACGGGCAGGGGGCTTCAATTTTCAAATTAGCCTTTCGAAGTCGCCTGTGCCTCGATCTCCTCCACCCGAGGGAGGATCGTTGCACGAATACCCGTGGTCGGGCAAAAGACACGCAAGCCTTTACGCTATGATCTCGTTGAAAAGGAGAAGACGTTAAAAAGGACAGCCTCGTAAAATTAGTTAGTAGCCCCTGTACCCTCCTCGGTCGACGGATCATTTCTTGCTTAGGACAAATTTTACGCGGCCCGGTCGGCGAACAGCGCCAGTCCTCTCGTCTTGGAAAACGCCTTGGAAACGTGTGTACTCTCGTAAACGAACACACACACACACACACACACACTCTTGAAACGTTTACATTCGTTGAATATAAATTCCGAAGCCTTAACAGGAATTTCTCGAGAAGAAAGAAGAAGAAGAAGAAGAAGGGAGAGGGTGAGACGTTGATCTAACGCGATCAGCCTGCGGCCGCGAAATCGTTTGGCGAGTTTAAAGGGCACCTCGCCCCGGTCCCTTGAAGTGAACGAAATGACAGTTAAACGCGGTCGAACCCTGTGGAATCCAGGCGTCTCATAGAGAGACGAAGAGGCCTGCCAGAGAACGAATCATGTTTCACGCGAGTTCCAGCGGAGAGGACGCGATGGACCCATCGGACCGCGGAAGAAGGAGACGCAGATGCCCGTGAAAAGGTAACGAAGGAAGCGACAGTTTTGATAATCGGTGTGCGCGTCCCGTATAATGCCGACAGGAGGCGTAGCCCCGGCACCGGGCCACGCGAGATACGATACGACGTTTCTGCCTCTGCTCATCGTTTCTCCCGATCCGCGTCTTATCCCAGTCGGATCTAACTTCTATATCCGTGTGCTCGTCCCCCCGCACACGCCGAATGACCGTGTACATTTTCGGGAGCAAACGTTCCTCTCCGAAATTCTCCTTCTCTCGATCCTTTCACAAATTGCTGATAAAAAAAAAAACAGGCTGTGAAATCTGTCCCAGAACAGAATAAAGAATTTTATTTCTGATGAAGAAGAAGAAGAAGAAGAAGAGGAAAAGAGGGGGGTCACGCGATCATCGCGGAGAAAGATGAAGCGCGCGACTTCACGACGGATTTTAGACGAAATATCGCCGCTGGTAGGAGATGAATCGTCCCGGTGATTCGCGCCACGGACGCTCGCATGCACGATGACGGGGGATCGTCTTCTGCTTGAGAGGAGAAGAGGAGAGAAGCCGCTTCGACTCCAGATCCTTTCCTCTCCTCTCGCTCCTTGCCCCACGCCGAACGCCTTCGCAGTTCGCGTTCACGTTCGCGTTCGGAGTTCGCTTCGAGCTTGCGTGCCAGTCAGCATTGGCAAGTAATTTCTTGCACGCAATTGCCCGCTACTGGAATTGCCTGGTAGGCGACCTCAGTCCGTCAGTCATTTACTTTTTAAATCGAGCCTACCTGCCCGGCTGACTGGCTGGCTGCCTGGCTGACGGACTGCCGGACTCATTCGCCTTTGTGTACGTCCTTCTCTTCCATATATTCACACACACACACACACACACACACACAC